AGTCAAAATGCATATTTTCACCTTTGAGCCTAATTAAAGCAGTGCATAACAAAAGAAAAAACAATTAATCACAACATGTCACAGCTTGCACTGGTTTTATGCCGCATTGCTTAGAATGTTCTCCTAATGTGATTTATTCCTACTTAATGTGAATATGCGGGTCGCTTATTCAAAAGCAAAATTCTTCATTTAAATCCCAAAGAGATTTCATTTTCAATGGTTTTAGTCCCAACTCTCAGAGGTGGAAATATACGATTTTGACTAACACTTTTTAGCAGCCTCCTATTTGCTCATTTTTTCACCATTTGTTATCAAAAACATGTCATTCGATGGTTAAAAGCCCAACCTTTCGGAATGTGAAAAAAATTCGTTAATAGAATGAGTAATTCACGTACAATAGCGCACCAAAGTTGGATTACCTTTTTTTTGATACACCCTGTATATATATATATATATATATAATATAATATATAATATATTATATATATAATATATATATATATATATATAGAAGATATGAATATAGGTATAATAATATCTATATTCATATCTTCTAATAAGTTAAGAAGCGGAAATTGTATCCCGATGGTGGATCCTTCTACTGGGGGCTGCATCGTTTTGTTTGGTGCCTATATACTTTTCCTATATATATATATATATATATATATATATATTAATATATATATTAATATATATATATATATTGTATGAGGGCAAATTTTTGTTTTCTATTGGGGCCAATAGAAAACAAAAAATCAAAACAATTTGGAGTACATTACATTGCCAAAGATCGAGGCGCTTGATTGTTGGCTATAGGAATAGCCCGCAATTAGGGAAGCCTAATCAGCAATGAAAACATAATTATTACAATCAGCTTTGATGTAAACAAAGAAGCCTTTCATTTATTCCAGAGGGATGGAGAGTGCCAAGACTGTGGATGAGTCGCATTTCTCGTTTTTTACGGCTATCGTTAGTGCCGGAAATGGGACAGAGGGCTCTAATTTTCATGTCCGTGACAGGAGGGGGGGGGGGGGTAGGCTTGGTGTTATCGTGGTTGTTAACCGACCTACGGTGTTCACCAAACCTTACCCTTAATTTCGCCGATATAAAGTAAACCGCATTTGTTGCATGGGATGCAATAAATAAGGTTTGAGGAGTGGCATGTGAAATGGTGCCTGATGAAAAATTGTGAGTTGGGAGCCAAAATAACGGTGCTGGAATCGGTAAATGAGCATGTTTTACATTGGCCAATGCCACATGGGAATGTGCCATTGGGCTCTGAACAGTTTTGCTGTAGCGAGCTGTGAACAGTGCGTCCCGGATATTTTTGTTGTGCCGAAAAGAGACTAAAGGGTTATCGGTGAAAATGGAAGATGTCTCGGGATCATTCTGCAGGATATAAAAATTCCTAAGTAAGATACCCCTAACAGCAAAATTAAAGGAATGATGTGTTAGAACAAATATAGTAGAATGAGTGCTACTGAAGACAGAGTCTCTTAGAGTGTCTAAACGGGAAATGTCAGTGGCCTTAGATAAGGCAGTGTCAATAAGTGGGGAGGGATAGCCGCGCCCGACAAAGATTGTTTTTATCTCCAGACATTTGGACTGGAAGGCATCATCTTCCCTGCACAAAGGCGGCGGAGACGAAGGAATTGTGAGAAGGGAATAGACCTCTTAGTGTGGCTGGGGTGGAAGGAAGAAGATAAGAGGTAGCTATGGGAGTCAGTGGGCTTGTAGAATACTGAGGTAGAGAGCTTATTGCCTATGATGGAAACCAGGATATCTAAGAATGATACACCGGTCTCACTGATCTCCCATATGAATTGGAGTGCTAGATGAAATTCATCAACAAATTTGATGAATCTCTCCAACTCAGCACGAGAACATGATGCTGTACGGCTGTACCAAAACATTAATCAATGTAAACCCAGGTAATCAGGTAGAGGGCCAGTGTACTGTTCGTAGTTTTGTTTTTCTATAAAACTAACAAACTAACAATTTGGCATAATTGGGACCCATTTTAGTTCCCATTGCTGCACCAATTATCTGTTGGCAATGCACACCGTCAAAGGAAAAATTGTTGAGAGTGTGCACCAGTTCTGCTAATCTGAACAAAACAGCTGTCTATTCCCTTCTCACAATTCCTTCGTCTCCGCCGCCTTTGCAGTGTAGATGATGCCTTCCAGTCCAAATGTCCGGAGATAAAAACATTCTTTGTCGGGCGCGGCTATCCCTCCCCACTTATTGACACTGCCTTATCTAAGGCCACTGACATTTCCCGTTTAGACACTCTGAGAGACTCTGTCTTTAGTAGCACTCATTCTACTATCTTTATTCTAACACATCATCCCTTTAATTTTGCTGTTAGGAATATCTTACTTAGAAATTTTCATATCCTGCAGAATGATCCCGAGGCATCTTCCATTTTCACCGATAACCCCCTAGCCTCTTTTCGGCATAACAAAAATATCCGGGAAACATTGGTTAACAGCTCTCTACAGCAAAACTGTTCAGAGCCCAATGGCACATTCCCATGTGGCATTGGCCAATGTAAAACATGCTCATTTACCGATTCCAGCACTTACTGTTATTTCGGCTCTCATCTCAACAGTTTTTCATCAGGCATCATCTCACATGCCTCTCCCTCAATTTCATTTATCGTTTCCGTTTCAACTACGAACCCTATAGGTGCCGGCGGTTTCCGAGACTGGTGAGCTCTGTTTTCTGGGCAAATTAAAGGCATGCAACTGCAATAAACAATGACACTTTTTGGATGAAATAATGGCAATGTGCCAGAGCACATGCCGATTTAATTAAAAAAAAGGGACAAATTATAGCTAATTGTTACAATCTTCGTAATCTAGTACAGCACAGAAAAGGTGGGGTGATAAAAAACGCCACAAGCCGACTGAGTTAAAAAGGTCACCCCGCCGCATCAGGCTCGGGAAACGCTGGCAAAACTAGATTATTAGAAAAGATGAAAAATAGAAAAGCAAGAGAAACGGGAGAGGTTACGCAACATATAAACGCAAATCTATAGTAGAGTAACTGCGCTGCACTTTGTTTGCATCGTTATGTTATAAACCTAATGGTACCGCGGAAGACGCGATTGCGCTGAAGTCGACCATGAACCTAGCCCCTGCATTACAACACGGAGCGACCTCTTCTAGGCAATTGCTACCTTGACACCTATCACCTACTAATGATGCAGTCGCTAGCCTAGCCCCTGCATCAGCTATACGACAAACACAATTACGCATTTCAACAACGACAAGGTAGCGCCTAGCTAGCCGTTTGCCTCGCTAAACACAGAAGGCAGCCCCCGTCAGTCCCACATAATTACGGAGACGAAAAATTCAAACTCGGAGCTCTAATGTATTTGCGAAATGCATCCGATCGCCAGCGCCCCCGTAGCACGTATCTGTGTATCAGAAAAACCCGCCGCGAAAGTGGCTGCCCCGATACGAAAACTGTGTCCTTTGTAACTTTAACTATGATTAGCGCTAATCACTGTAGTTAAATCCTTAAAACTATGATTAGTTAACTACACGACTTAACTGCGTTGCGCAAGACGTAGTTTGTCGGATGATGAACTAATCACGTAGTTAACTTGCTTCTGTTAAACAGAGAAATAGCATGAAGTATCTCGAAATTATTGACCGCTATTACTGATTTTGAACAAGACGTTGGACTCGTATTTACAAAAATTGACAGTATTTTGATCTAAAAGATTAGAAAAAAATGCAATAAAACAAAGAAAAAATTCCAAATAATTCAACGAAAAAGGCGCTCTTAATATAAAAAGGTCCCTTTGAGTCAAAATACCGGTTGCAGTAGTAAAATGGAGATGGCTAATCTTAATTGGCTAGGATCGCAATTTGGCATAGACACGTATCCCGAAGCAAAATTATTCTCCGTTGCTGCCCAAATGAAAAAATAAAGGCATATTAAAAGTTTACAAGCGTCGACGGGGCTTTTTCTGAGTGGTTAACGGTTCACAACCTTGGTATGTGTTGATTTTAATGCTTTCTCACTCCTCAAAAGCTCAAGACGCCATTTTTAACTACGATTTGGAAAATTGACGATGCCCTTGAGGATAGTTAACTTTAACTACGTTTTAACTATGATTAACGCTAACTACTTTATTATACAACTGGCTTAACTACGTGATTTAAGTTAAATACGTTTTAACTACAGTTGGGTGGTTAAAAAGTAGTTAAAACGTAGTTAAGAGTTTTATGGAACCGGCCCCAGAAACGTAATCTTACATCCGACTGCGGCATTCGTGGCGTCGACAATCTTAACTAGCTGGTTGACATGGAGGACGGATGACGACCTAGTGCAATAGTAATCTCACCTACTCTCAAAAACGCGAACTGAAAGGCAGTGGTGCACATGGCTTTAAACAGCTTAGCGTCATAGGCGGTCGAGCTAAGAGAAGGTATATGTAGCAAAACATTGCGGAGTATCGGCAAGGTAATTGGTAAGCGAGAATCCATCCTACTGCCTGTTTTTGGACCAGGAACTGGTCCCTAACCGCTGCTAATCAGCCTATATATAAGTAAACGGAAACGATTAGAAATACATTGTCCTCTGTTGTAAGACTGTCTTTGTTTAGGACAGTTGTCATTTTATTCGTATACATTATTCTATTGTCTTAACTTGGTATTTAAATTAATAAAAATATTTTTAATCTTCATTGACCTGATAATGACGTTCAGTTAACGTCGAAACGTCGTCTCTTAACTTTTTTAACATGTATATAAGCAAATATATTTTATCGCAGAACTTTATAGTCAAATGTAATTTTATATTAATAAAATTCAAGCGAATTAATTGATATTGGGGGGTGTAGCATATACTTATGTTTAATTGCCTTATAAGAAATCGGTTACAAAAAATATCTACAGCCCGAAACGAATATATGAATATTCGCCCTTGTCATCAGGCAATATACCTGCGAGAATAGTATGCCATATTAATTAGGTCTAAAAACTCACCTGAATACCAGTAAAAATTGTTCCACTTGATTTCCATGGTGACCAACCTCCACCATGAAACCTCCCTCGAACTTTGCAATATACCTATTGGAAGTAGAGTAAAGTATCGTTATCTCGAGAAAAAGTTGGGTAATTCAACATTTTAATGATTCGCGTATTGTTTATAATGCTATTTTATTATGCAATAAAGTCATAAACTCAACAATTAACAGGGCGCTTTTCAGTAATGGGAGTAGGCTCTTCAGGAAATTTGCAGGGTCGCTGGAACTGGGGGGGGGGGCAGGTGCTCCTTGTCTTTCACCAGGACAAGTGAAGGGAGGCAATAATTTCTAAAATTTGAAAGGAATAAATTTTATATCTTGGTAGATGTAAAACCAATGGGCTTCATAAATAGCACGGTATGATGAACAACTCTCAAGCACTGAAATCACCTTGGCTCATTTCAATAGACTTTCTCCGCGCCACTACAGTCTATAGAAGTGTCCTTCGTAAATTTCCCTCCCCTAACCCCCTCATCGTTACGGCGGTCCAACAAATCTCTCTACGAACAGGCCAAAATTTTCAGGCAAATTCATCTGATATATAGTTTTCGCGGAAAACAGCGAGACCACGCAGTAGCCACTGTGTCCCATATTTATTTTTAAAAGAAAGATTTATTTTCAAAAAAAAACAATCCAAATCACTGAGGAGCACTCCGGTCTCATGTGAAATATATGACAAAAGGAAAAAATGTACGGTGGAAATGTCTGAAAACATTTTGAAAAAGGCTAAATGAATGTGGAAATGTAAAAAAATGCTTAAAAACATCTCAATTTGGATTGTTTACATTTAAAAGTTGCCCCGCCAATATATACGTAAATACCTGAATATCAATCACGTTATATTTATATTAACATTGGTTTCGTGGCGTTTTGCCTGGTTTTTGCGCAAACCCGTCAACATCTTAAAAATCCCAATATTATACATATTTGAAATATTATGACTTTTGGCACTTCACTCGATGTCGGTAAATTCTAGAGGTTGAAACTTGAAAGGGTCTAAATTTCGAGTGGAATTATACACACTTCAAATTCAAGCCAGGAACGGTTGATGGAAAAATGAGTAAACCATCGGTCCTCCGGCAGGAATCGAACCTACGATGCCGGTGCAATGCGTATATAATTTCACTCGAAATTAAGACCCTTTCAACCTCTAATATTTGAGATATGTATTATATATGAGCGAATTATGAATCGAAAATTTTATCCCCCTTTTAAATTGAGTAGAAACATCTTTTTTTTAATTAACTGTTGTAAAATTGACATTTTATCTTCATTGCTCCAGGAAATCAAAACAGCTGCTCAACTCCTTAAAAGTTGCTCAAACGTTGTCGAGTACAATCTACAGAGGCCTAATACAAACCCTTTTGTTCCATTCATAACCACGTTCATCCCATTCTCTTGCCCCAGTAAGTCTATTGACAAAAAGCTGACTTTCGTAAAGATTTTCGTAATACGTTTGATCTGCAGTCCCGTTAAACATATGTTGCACCGCGTGTGTAGTTTCCTTAGAATCTTTGAACCACTTGACATGAAATTCAACATGAGAAGCATCATTAACGTAGTCCCAGAAACATCTTAATGCCACATAAACTCTATCTTCATCCTTTGGTCGTACTTTTGGCCTCATTATACTAGGAACAATACCTGCAAAAATAATTGAATGGTAAAGATCATTGAAAATTTCGTGCTGTAGTCGTCAACATGCCCATTGCATATTCATTCGTTATCATGTGACCTCTTTGCGGGGTAAGGAAGTTCGTGAATTTTCTCTGTGAATTATCTTTAAATAAACAAATATAACATATCAAAATCAAAGTTAGTCTTTCCTCTAACTAATTGAAGTGGTCTCATTTCGAAAACTTTACTCGATAAGAAGCAATTGCAATGGCAATGGCAATGGCAATGGCAATAACAATGGCAATGGCAATGGCAATGGCAATGGCAATGGCAATGGCAATGGCAATGGCAATGGCAATGGCAATGGCAATGGCAATGGCAATGGCAATGGCAATGGCAATGGCAATGGCAATGGCAATAGCAATAGGAGTATCAAGAATAATAAGAATAATAAGAATAATAAGAATAATAAGAATAATAAGAATAATAAGAATAATAAGAATAATAAGAATAGAAAGAATAAGAATAATAAGAATAATAAGAATAATAAGAATAATAAGAATAATAAGAATAATAAGAATAATAAGAATAATAAGAATAATAAGAATAATAAGAATAATAAGAACAAGACGCCGTTCTGGCGTTAACTCCGGCGCACGTGCCAGTCTTCAATATAGAGCTTCTGAACATAAACAATACAGTTCGCGTATTGTTTCGCATACATATTCGCATTTAGATGCCTTGCGAACCTAAATGTTCGATCGCGAAATTCAGAAGCACATCGCAGTATAGAAGTTCAATTGTTCAAAAATGTAAATAAACCGCATGATACATTCGCTTCGTCTTACACTTTGCCTTTGGAATTCGCGCTTATATATAGTTGTATTAAATCTTCGATCCTGTGCAAACTACGCGACGTGTCAACGCGCCCATACACGACCACATCATCTTGTTAAACGGCGAAATAGCAGCGATATTATTAAAATAGGACCGAGTCTACATGTATTAAATATATTCTTACCCCAATTCAATCTAAACTTAATCGAACAGCATAAAAAGAACGGTTTATTTGTTCCTCTTGGAGGAATTGCCATATCATGCGAGCGAAATCGAATCGCGCATTGGAAAATTAGCCAAAGCTGTGCACCACAACTCTTGGGAGATAAGACTGGGACGTAGATAAATACGATCACATACACTATTCAAATACTAGTATATTTCGCGCCATTACAGACTTGCGACGACGAAAAATAATAAAAAAAAAAAATAAAAAAAAAAAAAACAAAAACAAAACAAAACCGGGGCGAATTTTCAACTCCGTCGCTGACGCCGGAGTAATAATAAGAATAATAAGAATAATAAGAATAATAAGAATAATAAGAATAATAAGAATAATAAGAATAATAAGAATAATAAGAATAATAAGAATAATAAGAATAATAAGAATAATAAGAATAATAAGAATAATAAGAATAATAAGAATAATAAGAATAATAAGAATAATGATGGTTTTTCGTCGGGCTTTGATTCGTCCTAGGTGGTTCACTTCTAGCTACGAAAGTGTTGCCGCAACATGCATTTGGGGCCGATGAACATCCGAGGTGATCGATAGATATCTGGCTAAAGTTTTCAAAGGACCATTCTTAGCTTCTCCCTTCCCTAATCTACAGTGTAGCCCCTTTGGCGTCTTCCCCAAGAAAGTATAACCTTTTAAATGGCGGCTGATATTGAATTTGTCTTCCCCACACGGTCAAAGTGTTAACGATGGGATTCCCAAATATCCCATTCATATATCTCCGTTGATGATGGTTTTGGGTCCGGGAGCCTTCAATGCTAAGTTTGATGTGGAGAGCGCGTATTGTACGTAACTATATAATGTTTTGCTTATATGAAGTATATTTCCCATAGGTTAGCAGCCATATGGAGTATAGATATTGAACAAATATAATAATTGAAGTTTATGAGTTCACGGCAACCAGGTATATAATCCATCGTAATTATCGCTACTCTGGTTTTAGTAAATGAAAGTAATCACCACACAAAGATTAACTTTCACGACCCAACGTTTCGACACTCCGGTCTAGTGGCTTCATCAGGGGTGATCTGATGTTAAAACTCGGTTCCTTATATACTCTCAAAATGACGTCATCTATTAATCAGATGTAAATACTCTTTTGGCAAATAGCTTCCGTCATCCCTATTAAGGGCACAAAGACTCGCATTAATATGCCAGGCTTCCAAACAACGCCTTTGTCCATAACGATCATTAGTGGTAATGACTTTTGAATCGTTCCACCCAATGTTATGGTTAGTTTGACACACGTGTTCCGCCAAGGCTGATTTTGAACTGTCTAAGTTCGATACGGCCTTTTGATGTTCTTTTAAACGTGTGCCGAACTGGCGTTTTGTTTGACCTAGATATTCTTTCTCGCAATCACCACATGGTATAGAGTATACAGCATGAGTTTTCTGTTTAGTCGCTACGCGATCCTTGGGTTTCGCGAAAATATGTCCCAATGTCTGAAAGGGTTTTAAGGCATAAGGTTTTAAGGTATAAAAGTTGCCTTAAAACCCTTTCAGACATTGGGACATATTTTCGCGAAACCCAAGGATCGCGTAGCGACTAAACAGAAAACTCATGCTGTATACTCTATACCATGTGGTGATTGCGAGAAAGAATATCTAGGTCAAACAAAACGCCAGTTCGGCACACGTTTAAAAGAACATCAAAAGGCCGTATCGAACTATAGACAGTTCAAAATCAGCCTTGGCGGAACACGTGTGTCAAACTAACCATAACATTGGGTGGAACGATTCAAAAGTCATTACCACTAATGATCGTTATGGACAAAGGCGTTGTTTGGAAGCCTGGCATATTAATGCGAGTCTTTGTGCCCTTAATAGGGATGACGGAAGCTATTTGCCAAAAGAGTATTTACATCTGATTAATAGATGACGTCATTTTGAGAGTATATAAGGAACCGAGTTTTAACATCAGATCACCCCTGATGAAGACACTAGACCGGAGTGTCGAAACGTTGGGTCGTGAAAGTTAATCTTTGTGTGGTGATTACTTTCATTTACTAAAACCAGAGTAGCGATAATTACGATGAAATATAATAATGGCGACAAGAATTGTAAAATAACTAACGATTTTTAGAAGTTCTCAACACGCAAATATGGCGATGCACTGCTAGTTTTTCCAGAATTGAATCTACGAGACACAAGCAATTTAGCTGCAAGATGTGAAAAATACTTAAAGAGATTTAACAACCTAATGACCGCTATGAACATGAAAGATGCTGGTCGGAAACGCGCTTTGCTTTTACATTATGTTGGCGAGGAAGTTAAAGTTCTTTGATTCACTAGCAGATAAAGAAGACGACTGCAGATTGCAGCAAAATAATGTGAATTTGGTGATAACAAAGATAAAGAAAACAAAGCTCATATAGAGTTGGGAACAATAAACAAGAAACTACGTCGATATTCATTCCGCACACCTGCTCTCTCATTAACGGAATTACGCGAGAACACTTTACGAGACAGAGAAACAAGCAAAAGGAATTGAAGAAGGTCCTCGTAACTCGATCTTCCAGTTTGTGTTGCGATAACAGTACAGACGATATCGACAAAGTCCAGTTTGGTCCAGCTTCCTTCCATTTTGATGGAAAGACTGACGTAAGAATGGAATTGTTAATGATTTCCGTTAAAGTAGATAGAATACACGGCAATGCATCTTTGATAACCTTCATCGACACCTTGTCAGCTCCCGGAACCTTATTTGAGGGAAATGAGAAAACTATTTTTCGAATCTCGAATGTGGAGTCAGTGGAGACCGCCCGGAACGATTCCTCCGAGTAAAAGGTGACCGAATTTGTTGGTGGAGTTAAGGAGATACCATTTTTTCCGCTAGAGACTTTACAGATTCACTTGTTCGTGCTCCTACAGTCGTAAAAAATTCGTTAAATTCATTTGCTAATAACTTTACATCTCTTGTGCAAGTAGGTTGACTGTTCTCTTTACGAGGTATACAGTTTCTAATTGCTTTCCACATTGAATCGCTCTTTTTATTATTCTGTATCTCTTTCTGCAGGTATTCCCTCTCAGCCGTTCGCAATTTAATTTTAACATCGTTACCGAGACACCCGGTAACACTCTCAATCCTCTGGTAAGCCAGTATACACCGAGCCGTCTTCAGTAACTTAATTATTCCTAGTCAGCATACGTTGTTTTAGTTCTTGGGTGATAGATGGACATTGTCGATATCTAACTTTCATGGACTTCAGAGGGGCGTGTTTATATATATTCAATACATTTTGGAAACAAGAATGAAAGTGGTCCACTTTTCCATTGCAGTCATCTATAATGGTGTTTTCAATCCAGTTAATTTGTCCAAGGTCATCCAGAAAGGAATGTTGATTATAATTCTTAAAGTCCCGTGCTGTAAATTAAACATGCGGTTGTTTTGGGATTTTTAAATTAAGTTCGGAGAATACAAAATAGTGGTCACAAATATGAGTCTCCTGAATTCCACTTTTAATGACCAACTTAGAAATTAAGAAATATCTTATTTGCATTGATTACAAAAGCAACACATGCGCGTTAGAGTTACGCAGCCTAAAATTTCGACACTATAATAAGTAAAATAAACTTGAATAGAAAAGAGCACTCAGATTCAAACATTTTCGAAGGCATATCGTATTACACTTATCTAAACAGCGAAAAAATATTTGCATGCAAACAAGTTACAAGTATACAACAAGTTACATTGTTCAGTTTGTAAATCGACTTGAACAGGCATGATAGTTCATTGATCGTGTTCATCTTAGTTGTAATGCGAATTTTGTATATATCTTTTAATTCAACGGTATTGTTTATCGCATTCCTTATCCGCACGACCCATGAATATATTCCGGAAGAAATATATCAAGATGTCGCAAAAATTAAAGCAGAGATCATTGCAAAAACTTGAAACGTCTACGTACCTTCTTGTTCCGTCTTTTAACAATAGAACGGTAATGTAATGT